TACCTCCAGCACCCGCAGCACAATGTTCACCTTGCCTTTGGCAAGGGCGATGATGGCGTTTAACAAAAACTCGTGTTCTGCCCCTTCCAGGGCGTCTGGCTGCCAGTCTAGGGACTCCACAAGTCTGCATGTACTGTCCTTATGTACACCGGGCAGTTTTTCCGTTTCATTTACGTATTTTACGCATTTTTAAGCGTAAAACGAAAAAACTGTTTTTACGCGTAAAGACGTAAATACGGTCAGTTTTTACGACGTAAATGCCAAGCTTACCTGTGACACGCCGACAAATGCGCGCGCAACCGAGGCATGCGCTGAATTCGACTGCAACCCAGACACTTGACGCCTTGCTCCACTAATTGCAGACTGTGTCTGACTGCCCGCACGTTGTATGTCTGACTCCACAACGAGTACCGCCTGTAAGCAAGTCAGTATGCGCATGGGCTTCAACTCAAAATGACGCACAACTGATTCGGGGTGCGTTTGATATGCAAACGATGCCCTTCCTACTTTGTCAGATGCGTGTCCCACTACCTCCATTAACAAATTTTGTGGGTTGTCCAATCTTGCTATAACTTTGCGATATCGGCTCAATTGGCCAATCTGTCACCCAATTCGTATTCCATGGTTAATTATGGGTTGATCAGGATCTTGGTTGAATTAGTTATCACATTGCAGTAAGACAATCACACACCTGTAGAAAGCGGCCCTCTCTACTTCCATCAGCTGCTCAGGTTCCCTCATTTTCGCACTCGCTTTGTCGCATTGATTTTCAACTCCTTTCCCCATGTTCTCTGAGAAGCTTGTTGCAGTAAACAAATAAGTACTATCGTAACATTTGAATATGTATAGCATCATCGCTACATAGCGTATACGGCATTCTGTGTGGACTATCTCTTCCGCTGTGTTCAATCAGGTTTCAGAACTCTGCTATTTCGACGATTGGCCACCTGGACCCCCATATTGGACAACATGAGCACTCGCGACCTTCCAAGCCTTGGAGAGTTTGCCAGATTTGTGTTCTTGCATTGTCCAAGGTGTCCTTTGGCCTTGGGCGGGAACATTTGCACAGTTCTCTTCAACACCTAGATTTCTGCAACAAACCAGCCGCCGCCGCCGTATGAATGCCGCCTGGAATCTACTGATATTTTCAGACCATGACAGACCATCAAACTGCGTCTCTCTCCCAGGGACAGCTGAGCTTGATTCACCCATTTCAAAGTGCAAGACAAGCTTGCATGCGCTGTCACCAGGCTTGGCTTTTACGCCGTAAAACTGTTCGTATCTACGTCCGTACACGTAAAATATTTATCCCTCTTCTTAGAGGTAAAAACTCCTAAAGTACGTAAACAAAACGTAAACGCAGCCCCGTGCACACAAGAACGGCATATACAGACTAGGGGGCTCCGAAGAATGGCGTCCACTAGGGAAAAATGGGCCAAATAACAGTTTTGCGAACACACATAAAACACATTTCATCAAAGTTCTGCACGCTAAGAACACAAAAATAACACAAACCCGTAAACTTTGCCCATGTTTGAACACGTGTTATTTTGCCCTTTTTTCCTAGAGATCCAGCATCCTGGAATGGGTAGAAAGTGAGCATTTGCTCCACGCCATCGCTGCCCTCGCTGAGGGCGTGCTGGACGCTGTGCTGTGAGTGCTCGAGGGCCGGGAGGACTGAACATTGCAGAGATTTTCGCCGCATAGCTTGGGTGCCATATCAAGCAGCAGAAGGTAAACGTAGACGCAAAAACCAAGCCTGCCTGTCACAGGTCCCGGGTTGCTCATCTTTTCCTGGCGTACCGCGAGTACGTCGGTGCTGTTTGCTACGCTTATAGTATCTACAGATAATTCTCAATAAGATGCATCGTTAAGACAAAAGTCACACTTCTGACACATGGCCATCTCCCAGGCACAGGGGAAAAAGCCGCAACCGGGCGGATTACAGTACAAGCGCACCAACAACATAGCATTCACCGTAAATATTCTAAATTGGCAACCATCGCGTCCCATACTCATTTCACGTCAACGCCATGTTTCCTGTGCTCACCCACACCATATTTAGCCCCGCTCCCCTTGTGAATAACTGCTTAACATCTTCGCCCTCACAGTGGCAATCGTTACGGCAAAATTTCTAACGCAACAATTTGGACACTGGTTTGAACTTTTTTGATAACGGACAAGACTGTTGCAAAAGGGGATAATATTAATTTTATGCCGCTTGGCGGCCAAATGGATATGAGATATGTTCAAATGAAGGAAAACAACAACTTGTTGTCATTTTGAAAATGACGGGCTTTTCTCATTGCGCCGACATGAAGGCGCTGAGTGAGCGACATCATGTAAGTTGCATAGCCTTGTTGGCAGTTGCCTGAGAGCGGCAGCGCTTTAATTGACAAGCATAGGGCAGAGAGCTCGTGTGACATTCTTCCCTGCCGTCTGAGCCGCATATCGCGCATTGGTGATGCGCTATCTGCATGTGGAATATGCGAGAGACTGTGACAGTTTGATAATAGGACACCCGCTTGGGGGCCTTACTGGCTGGGAGAAAATCTGACGTACACGCTCGGAATGAGAGGATATCATATGAATGAAATTTCATTGAATTTGGTGATGGGTAAAAGGCTAGCGAGGGCGATTTGAGTGGCCCCAAGATTATGCGCTGCCCGGCTCTGAAGGGCATTCAGTAAACGTCGCCAACCCCTGGACAGTGGGACGAAGGGCTTGCCAGCCTGAGCTCCCTGTCGCCACGCTGCGAGTTGTACTCTGCATGGATTCCCTGACCTACAGCTCCTCGTTGGACTCGCGCTCTGCTGGGAACACGCTTCTGGCAGCTGGCTGGATGTTTTCGAAGTTTTCAGAGCGTTTCAGTGGACCAAGCTCGTTGTCTAGGGGCTGGCCCTGGTCAATCTGTGGCCAGTCGAAACGGTTCTGGTGGCTCAAAGTACGATTCAATCCAGCTCTTTCTTTACTGGCTTCAACTCCCAAAATATTGTGAAAGTGACAGGTCCTGAGTGTCAGCAACGTGGCGAATGCATCAGGAAGTTGTTTTGTTGCGTGCAGCTGCACTTACCGTCGCCTAGCTGATCGTGTACATCAGCGCGTTGTCCAAAACGGAAGCTGCAAGGCTGATTCTGTGACTCGTCTGATCTACGGTGGTCTGCTGACAACCCTTATCTTGATCTTTGTCAAACAGGCCAGCCAGACTGTCATCTACAGTTGAGTCAATCTGTGATAGGAGCGAAGCTTGAAAGGAGCGAATTCACAGCCTATCATGCAATATTTCAGACTGGGCACACGTTCAATGGTTAATAATACTGGCATGGCTTTGAAATCATCTCTGCGTGAGAGATGGCCTGTGAAGGATTTGATGTGAACTTTTGAGCATGAGTCAGACGGATACCATGTTGGTGCCGCACCAAGCAGCCGGACTACTTACGGACGTGCAACTTTACTTGTAACGAACAGCCGACGCTTGTTTCGGGCCCACGATTGCAATTTCCTGTGCATACATGGGGATCGTGCCCCGTTAGTTGGGTACATGCCGCACTGACAGTCGCCCATTGTGGGTGAATCTTCGCCATCAAATTCAGCTCGATCGGGTGAGCGTTCATTTCCGTGCGTGACTGGCTCATTGCTGGGAGAATTGCCATTTGGACACCATTCCTGCGTTGGTACGGGGCTCGACGCCACAACTGGCGCCCTGCCTGCCGAGTGGAGACGACTGTACACAAGTGGACAAACGGGGACATTTCTTGGCTCTTGCTTTCATTTTTTTCCATTTTTTCCTTTTTGTTTCTGCTCCAAAATTTTCCAGCGTTCGGGATCGGGCTTAACCCGTGTCAGCGACGGGTCAGATCAGATTACAGCACCCAAAATCTTCGCCCTGAAAACATGGCCATTGCTGCTGAAGCGATACTGACAGCGGTGGTTCAGGCGCTGACAAAGCCAGGCAGGGTCGAGGGGTGGCGAGCCCTGAATGGGGACCGTAGGCTCGAGACCATGGCGACGGTTTGCAGCCGTGCAGAGGCACAACAGGAGTCCTGCCCGTTACATCCAGTCCGTTGCTCAATATCCTTTAAGGCAGTTCCTAATGCCTCATCACTTCTTATTTATGCGTCCCGCTGTTAGTAATCCTCAATGAGCCCTAGTTACAACAGCACGGCAAAGCCACCGGGCGACTGCCACAGTTCCCTGCGGCCCGTCGCGGCTGCGCCCTCGGGTACAGTCGGTCAGGTCGGCCCAACCCCCCACCCCCCCCCACCCCACCCCAAACCACTCACCCACTGACCGGCGTTGGCCTTGTCAGCGGAAGAAGATGGGATGAGCACCGAAGAAGACAGAGAGACTAATGTATTCTCGGTGGGATGGGGAAGGCCGGCAACCGCCAGGCAACAGCATCCCGGATACCCGCAAAATTCCCGACGGGCACCCGGAGTGTGGTACGCGGCACCGGCCCAAAGTGACGTGTCGGAGGTACGACAGTCCGGAGCTGGACACGTGCCAGATCTTGGCGCCTGCTGTTGCGCAGCCACGCAGCAGGGGCGAGCACCACGCGAGGGAGGCACACAAGCGAGAGTATACTACGCGAGAGTGTAGTAGTATCAGCCCCGCTGTCTGTCCGTCAGGGTCCCCCCTTCTTCCGCTGACAAGGCCATCATAGGTCTGTGGTTTAGGGTTCATGCTGTCGAAACAAGAAGGGATGTTCACGGAAAAGACAGAGGACCAATTTCATGCCGGCACACGCGTCACTCCCGGCCGGCCGCCCCGCGCCACTAGATGCCAAGGCCGCGTGCCCCGGCGAATGCCGCGGCCTCCAATCCCCCTTTGCTGTGTGAACTGCCTCCCCGGAGTGTTATTGCTGACAGGGCTGACGTCCCTTGGCTGGGGCCAACCTTGTGCCCAGCCCGAGACGCGCGGCGCCAACACCTCCCCTCCGCCCCGCCCCGAGAGCAGGCCGGTTTTCGACTCTTCAAGCCGTCCCCATCGGCATCCCAAAGATGGCCCTCCCCGTGCACCTGACCTACAACGTGGCCGGCTGCGATGAGGTGTCCTGCGATTACGCGCTTCTGGTGGTGGCCTGCGACCCTCGCGAGCTCGCCGACGTTATCAAGGACCACACGGGCCACGAAACTCAGGTTAATGAAAAGCTGGTGTCTTTTACGATCCGCACGACCCTCCACAGGGCCAAGAGGTGCCCGGGGAGCAAGTTTGCGGTCAGGTTGAACCCTGGTGCGCTGGACAGCAACGATTACAGCGTGTATGGCTGGAGGGACGAAGTCAGGGCGAGAAAGTATGATGTCGGTGAGCGGGGAGAAGCAGAGGAAAAAGGTGGGGAGGCCTTTGTGGTAGCGTATCAGATGATGGAGGAAAAGCTGGTGGGGGCCGACCGGGAGGTGGTCAAGGCGAAGATCGAGGAAAAGCTGGAGGAGGGGCTGGCCAAGAGCTGGACGCACTTCGAGGTCGAGAGGAGGGAGGCTGAGCTGTTGACGGACTATTTTCCACACTTTGAGTTGGACGATCTGCGGGATGGGCTGCCGTGGGCCGTGCTGGACAATCAGGGGCAGCGGGCCACGCTGTACGTGTCGTCGTTCACGTGCTTCGAATCCGTGCTGCAGTGCAAGCAGTATGGTGACATGCTGTGGGAGCAGGACCAGGTGAGGGCGGTCATGCCCGGCGACAAGGATGCCCCCATCGCGGTGATCGGCGCCGGGCCGTCGGGGCTGCTGTTCGCGAGCCAGCAGCTGGTGCGCAAGGGGGGTTACACGAACGTGACGGTCTTCGAGAAGGAGGGCGTCTTTGGAGGGAAGACGAGAACCGTGGATCTGACGACGGAAGAGGGGGTGGTGGTGCCATGCGAGCTGGGCACGTGCTACCTCAGCGACGCCTACGACGACGACCTCACCGACCTGTCGGACATGTACGAGTCGGGAAAGTTGGAACCGCTAGGGGGCCCGAACATGAGATCCATTGCGGAGACGCCCGAGGCGGTTGGCTCGGATGAGGAGGAGCACGGGGTCGAGTTCCAGGAGTGGGTTAAACGCAAGAACGGCGGGGAGGACTGGAAGACGGATCTGGAGGCCCAGGCCAAGGTGTTCGCGGCGCTGCTCAAGTACAAGAAGATCCACAAGGCGGTGATGGGGACAAAGTACTGCATGCCGCTCAAGAAGCCAGAGCGGAGGCGGCGCCTGTTCGTGGATGACGACGTCTATGAGGATGCGCTGTGTTTGCGGTTCATGGACTTTTTGTGCAAGCACGGGATGGCTGCTCTGGAGGCGCCTTTTCTTTACACCTACGAGGTGCAGGGCTACGGGGACATCAAGCGGATCCCCGCCTACTACGGCCTGGCATGGATCACCGCCGACCTGGCCGAGGGCATAATCAGATCGAGGTTGCCGATCATCGGGGACGGGGAGAGCGTGTTCGTGTACGACAAGGGCTGGCTGAGGCTGTGGGAGAAGATCGTGGAGCGCCACGCGGACGCGATGAAGGTCGTGCTCAACGCCAACGTGCTCAGCATCACCAGGGACTGAGGCGGGCCCGTGCGGCTCGCCCGGGTCTGCTGCGGGGAACGCCCGCTTTTCAGCCGTATGGTCGGGAAGGCGGGATGCATGTTGGCGTTTGAAGCTGCTGTTTGGCTTGGGGATATCGGCAGTTAGGGTAACGGCTCCAACCCGGCGCCAAGCAAGGTCTTAATGCCAATGTCTCAGAGCCAATGTCTTGGCCATTACCAGGGGGCTGGGACATGTCCCGGTGTGTTGCGCCCGAGTCTGGAAAGTGTGAGGAGCGCTCGCTTTTATTGGGTTTGGGGAACGCGTTGACGAAGAGCGCCAAGAAAACGCTCCATGCCAAGTCTCGATGCCAATGTCCTGAGCAAGGCCAGGCACTGAGGCTCGCCTGTGTGGTGCTCCCGCGCCTGCTATGAGGGGCGCACGCAGTGGCGTTTGAATTTTATTGGCGTTGGGGGACTTCGGCACTTCCGGGGTAGGTCGCATCCGTGGCGCAATGGAAAGTCTCCGCCAGCGCCGACTTTCGCAGCGTCGCTGGAGAGCGTGAGGCACAGGGGGCCTGAACGCCGAGGATGCTGGATCACAGAGGATACTGATCATTTCTCTTTTCCTGTCCTTTTTGACGCGCCTCGCCTGGCGAGTTGGGGCCGGTTTTCGTGGCGGTTGCCGGGCTGGCCGCCGACCGGAGGGCATGGATCGAACGCTGGAGGGCGGGCCGCCCTTGGGAGTGGCGATGCTCACCTGCGAAAAGCCACAAACCGCAAGAAGCGGGGCTTGCCTGTGTGCATCTCTGGATCTCCGGAGGCCGCTGCCGTGTTTGATTTCAAGGGCGGTGGGGCGGCGTGAGGTGAATGGGCGGTCGGCGGGTTGGGAGGCATCTCGGAGGGGAGGGCGATCTCCTGGGATTGCCCCAACTCGATCGAGCGTGGGGGGGAGTTTGTGGCGGGGTGGTGGCGGAGAAGTTTGACTCGGTCAACGGTGGTGGTGGCAGCGGCGCCTGGCCTCGTCAACACTGGCGGGGACCTGCCGAGTGCCGCGGGCGTCCTCGGATGATGGATTGGATGCGCTTTTTTTCTACGTCCCATTCGCTCCTTGCCTTTGTGCTTTTTTCTTCGAAGCAGCATCTCGTGTGGGGCTCCGGTGCACGTGCGTGCTGCCTGGCGTCCTGGTTGTGGACGCTTGGTGTTGGTACGTTTACGGGTGGGGACGCGTGGGGGTGGAGTGGGTGGGGTGGGGGGCGTTGAGAAGGCGGAACGGGGCTGGACTTGGAAACTTGTACTGCGCCGGGTTGCTTGCCCATCGCACGCAAAAGATGCTTGCAGTTGTACAGTTCACTGGTCTTCGCTTCAGGCTGATGCGTTGTATATCAGCTGTTCAATAGATCCCATTGTGCTGGTTTTGTTTGATGTCAGGATGCGGGATGCCATAAGTATTGCTGGTGAAACGATATGACAGCAAGACAAATTAAAGCGATGAACTGACACTGAAAGGTGTCAACTTTTCCAGGCCGAGGCATTGCTTGCAGTCCGCTGTGCAAAAGCTTGGCGTGTCAGCCGCCGCGTTCACCAGATTCAAGATGTGGGACTCTGCAGGATTACCACGCACAGGCTTGGTTTTTACGTTTACGTTTACGTTTTTACTTTTACGTTTTTACGCGTAAAAACGTAAATTTGCAAAACGGCCTATTTTTACGGCTATTTTTACGTTTTTACGGCTCCCTTGGACCCCCAGATTACATGATGAAAGTTGTGTACAATGATCAGTCCTCCGCCATATCCAGCACCCACAACGCAGTGTCCACCTCGCCTTTGGCAAGGGCGATGATGGTGTTTAACAAAAACTCGTTTTCTGCCCCTTGCAGGGCGTCTGGCTGCCACTCTCCGGACTCCGTATGTCTGCATGTACTGTCCTTATGTACACCGGGCAGTTTTTACGTTGTATTTACGTATTTTTACGCATTTTTACGCGTAAAAACGTAAAAACTATTTTTACGCGTAAAAACGTAAATACGATCAGTTTTTACGGCGTAAAAACCAAGCCTGACCACGCAAAGTGTCCAGTTCAGTCGTTGTTTCGAAAGGATCTGCTGTGGTCGGGAAAAAGGAATACTTATATTATCATAAACTTACCTGAAAATACGAGGCACTGGTAATGTCACGAGTTTCTGGTGAACACAGTTCGCCAAAAAGCAGCCAGCTCCTTACACACCAAAATGGTCTCGTTGTGCCTGGCGAACACACCCCAGCCGCAATCAGACCACCTGCTGCAGTTTGATGTTTCAACGTCCAGCGGTCAACCGGCACTGCTGAAATGTGAGCTTCGTGGACACACTCGTTGCTGGAGATGTGGACTCACACAACCACTACAGTACCTGCGATGCTCAATCAAATTCAGCAGATTTGGCAGCTGCTCTACGAAATATTTACTAAATATTGTACGTAGTACGTACAACAAATGGTTGCAATCTTGGCTGTCAACTACGAGGAATGTTGCACAAAGTGTTCTATTGGCTGTTGAACAGAACTCAGCCAGGCATTGGCTAGCTGCACCAGCTGTACCCCTAACTGTTGTGAAGTAACGTAGCTGAACTAGGCCCTAGCTATGACTTTATATTCGAACAATAAAGCTGCAGTGCACTATTTGCTTATTATTATGTACCAATGAGGACGCAGACACACATGTGTGTCTGCGTCATGTATGTATACATGGCCTATCATATCAGACTCCCTGCAGAGGCTGTTAGCTAAGCTAAAAACGTGCAAACCCCGACACAACCCAGCAGTTCAGAGGACGAGTACCGGGACGATGCGTATCTGACGGCGACATCCGTATCCTTCGGCAACGTACGTATCTTACGAGCAAATGGCAGATACACATACATGGTGCACGCCAGCACATGCGCCCGTGGCCCTTCGCCTGCACGGATGCAGGCAGCGCGTGCATGCGTGGCCACTCTCCGGCCCCGGTCGTTTGCAGCTCACGAAATGCATCTGTTAATGCAGAGGGCAAAAAGCCATTTCGGGGCTTCCTTGCGCATTCACACTGTGGACTCTAGAGTGCATGGTTACAAAGGCAATCAGCTTGTGGCTGGCCAGCCATTGGCCAGACATACGTCTGAGGAATGATTATAGACATGTCCAAGTGGCGTCCGAACAGTGCCCCATTTGACTGGTGTTCCATCCGCTTGTATGCCACTCGGCTTCCTGGTCCACAAGCTGTCCCGCGAGGTGTGCCCCGAGGTGCCAAAGGGCAAGCGAAGGAAATGGCTGCGCAATCGCCGAGTCATTACAGCAGGCGAGATAATGGCATCCAGGGCAGGTTGATCAAACACCCTGCGCCATGCACAAGGGCGGGTCAATTATCCCTGAGGCAATTTGCTAGGATCTGCGACAAAGAAACCACGATGCCTAGTAACTTCGGCTGGAAAAGAGGCCCAAGCTGCCCACTGGCTGGAAGAGCTGAGTGATGGATAAGTGTGGCAACAAATAGTGACGCCACAAAAAGTTATTGCTTGACTGGTTTCGGGTTTTCAGCTGCTGAATTGCGTTGCATAATTGTCAGCGACAATCAGGCGCTCTGAAGTACGTCGGAAATCACGAACCATGGCGTGGTAATGTAAATTGCAGGGTCAAAATACGTGGTATTTCCACAGCAAATTCTTATTGTTGCAAATTATATAACGGTTGCGCAATAGGGTTGAAGGTTTTGGGTGCGGGTATCCAATTTTCAGTACATGGACAAAGAATTTTCGACTCAATGCGAATGCGGGCAGTACGTTTCGAGATGCGTTATCTGGCTTCATTTTTTGCTGTTTGGAGCCGCGGCTCTCTCACTTTATGGCCGGTCGCAAGTTGTGTCTGTCATAATTGGGCCTAAATTTACAGAGGCCAGAATGTCGGGCTCATCAGTGCGGGGTTAGTTCTTGCTCAGTACAGGCCTGGGGTGCGGATATAGGGGCTAGACCCAGATTCCATTGCATAGTGTGACGGAAGTTCCTGTTGTCTCGAGGGGTCGCTAGATACTTCGGGTGTTGGGTCTTCATGTCTGCAAACCACAAGGCCAACGTCTTTGCTGTTATGGAGCTCCAAGGAAGGCACTCGGGATGCCAATTGAATGCCTCTGGATCCGCCCCATCAGCACACGACATGCGCGACGAAACCACAAAAAATGACACAGAAATGAAGAAACAAAATGGGAATGCCGGACGAACGCAAGCGCAACTGATTGACCGTCGCCCGCGCACGGGATGGGTCAGTGACAGTTTGGCAAGGGACATGCATTTTGGCAAGCGCGTCGCAGCCGTATCGGTATCGGTAGCCGTATTTGGTGGCAGGCTGGGAAACCAGCTGCCGTAAATATTCAACCCTTCCGCATCAACAATTTTTACCGTTACGCTTTTTGCTGCGCATTCTTGTTTTCAGTGCGTCATCTACTTTTACTGTTTCTCCGCTGAAAATTTAGTCATTTTTTCTCAGCAAAAGATGGCCAAGCGTTACGTTACCACGCGGATGGGTTTTAACACTTTTCGGTATGAACTTGCGGCTGGACCGTGGCGTCAGCCTATCGAGAATTGACGTGGCACGTTTCTTCAGGTGCCAGGTCAGTTTTGTCAGGCTGAGCCAGCCGCATTGCTTGTCATTTGTTGTTTGCCTCCGTCGCCGCTTGCTGCTGCTGCGGGAAAGGCCCACTGTGCCGCTTGACACTACCGTTGACCACGGTGCGTTCAACGCACTGCGTTGTGATCCAGGTGCACGTGGCTTCACACGGGTGGAGCCATGTGCCAGCTGGTGTCCTGGACTCTGTGAGAGACATGCCCGAAAGGCAAAACCCCACAGCTCATCAGCACTCAAGCGCGTCCATCTCGTGAAGTAGCATTGGCACCATTGTGTCACCAGATCGACCACAGAGCATCCCCTTTTGGCACAGCGACCCCATCCTCGTATCTAAAATGTTGGAAGCCAGCGCCTCTGCATTTCCTAACGCAAAAGAGATCATCCTGCGCCCACACCGTTGCATGCGAGACT